GCACCAATTCTGTGCTGTGTGTGTGTGTGTGTGCACATGCGCACGCTGTATACTTACTTGCTCAGTTGTGTCTGACTCTTTGCGACCCCATGGACTGTAGCCTGCCAGGGTCCTCTGCCCATGGGGATTCTTCAGGCAAGAATACTGGAGTGGGTTGCTGTACCCTCCTCCAGGGGATCTTCCCAACCTAGGGATCCAACCCAGGTCACCCACATTGCAGGCAGATTCTTTACCATCTGAGCCACCAGGTAAGCCCCTCTGCACCTAGCACTCTCCTTCATATATATATGTATATATATTATATATAATACACACACATATATAGTATTTGGTAAATCTCAACTTCTCTTCTAAGTGCTTTGTGTAAAGGAAATCTTTTTAATCTCTACAATAACTCTGAGGTGGTCTGCAAAGATTTTGAAAAAAAAGTAAGACATAATTCCTTTATGTAAAGAGCCTTAAATCCAATTAAGAAATAATACCAGTGGAGTGAAATAATTACAAAACAATTCAAGTTTATAATACAAGCATAACATTACTAGATTTTAATTATGATTACATTTGAGGGAAGGGGAATAATATGTAGGCATTTCAACTTTTAAAAGGAATTGATAGTTTATCTTGGTCTTAAGAAATGGGAGGAATTCATATAGATGAAGGGAGTAATGGTATACGTTATTAGGTAGGTAGGAGGACAAGACCATAGACAACTTTCAAACCCAGGGAGAAAAAGCTGGACCTGAGGTGGCTGGAATCACTGAATCACTGACTGTGGATATGTGCCTGTGTGTGTGTAAGTGTGTGAAATTTATAAAGTCAGAAAAATAAGTCTTTGCAGCCATTAAATTATGTGGATTAAATGCAAAGTACTCATCCCATTCCTGGCACATAACTAGCTATAATTAAATGGTAACTATTATTATTTTCTGATAATAACAATAGAGAAAATTATGCCTTACATTTTTAATCTGGATAAATAGACTTATTCTGTGTTATTCATATTAAGTCTAATTTGTCTTTATAAACTTAAATACAGTTTAATCAATAATAGCATTAAGACAAATGCTCAGAATGAGCGGACTCCACATATACTCCAGCAAAGAAAATGCATCGTTTGAATGGCATTCTCATAGAGCTAAAAAATAATCATATGACAAAAGTTTTTATACTATCAGTTACCTATATTGCATTAAACTGTGATATTGGTCATTGTGGAAAATAGTGTGGTATTTCTCCAAAAAATTAAAAACAGAATTGCCATGTGATCTAGCAATTTTGCATTTGTGTATACACCCCAGAAAGCAGGGTCTCAAAGCAATAATTTGTACACCCATGTTCATAGTAGCTTTATTCACAAGAGCTAAAATGTAGAAGCCACTCAAGTGGCTGAATGCATGAGCAAAACATGGAATATATATTCAAGAGAATATTATTTAGCCCTTAAGAGAAAATATGACATATGCTACAGCATGGAAGCCCTGGAGAAGGAAATGGCAACCCACTCCAGTATCCTTGCCTGAAGAATGTCATGGACAGAAGAGCCTGGCAGGCTACAGTCCACGCGGTCACAAGAGTTGGACATGACTTAGCAACTACACCACCAGCACCACCACAGCATGGATGAACCTTGAGTACATTATGCTAAGTAAAATTGGTGGAGGTTTAGTCGCTCAGTCGTGTCTGACTCTTGTGACCCGATGGACTGTAGTAGTCAGCCAGGCTCTTCTGTCTATGGGATTCTCCAGGCAGGAATACTGGAGTGGGTTGCCATTTCCTTCTCCAAGTAAAATTAATCAATCACAAAGAACAACTGCTATGAGATACTTAGCGCAGTCAAAATCATAGAGAAAGAAAGTAGAATGGTGGTTGCCAGAGGTTTTGCGGGGGGGGGGGGGGGTAGGGGATGGAACTATTGTTTAATGCGTATAGAGTTTTGTTTTTTATAAGATTAAAAGAATTATGGAGATAGATGTTGGTGAAGGTTGCACAACATTATTAATGTGTTTAATATCGCTGAACTGTACACTTAAAAATAGTTAAGATGGTAAATTTTGTTATGTGTATTTTACTACAATAAAAGAAAAATTGGGGGGGGGGGTGGATGTGCTATTTGCAACTCTACAGAATCCAGTTATAGCTTTTTGATTCCCCATGGAGGATTTTTCACTAAAATTCAGCTGGTATGAAAACAAAAAAACAAAACAACAAAAAAAAAACAGGCATTTCCCAGAGGGATAAACAGAGAAGGCATAATAACCTTGGCAAGATCCTTTGTAAACTTCAAAGAATATGAGAATGCCTGTAAGGTTTTTTGTTTTGTTTTGTTTTATCCTGCTTTTTTGGTGATGATAGGGGAGGCAGAGTATAAACAAACTGTAGCTCAAAAGCTTTAAAAAAAAAAACCCATCTAATTATAGGGCAGCAATTTCTCTAGTACAGTATATTTTATACTTAGTATTTTCCAAACTATTTCCCAGGGTTAATAATGCAGCTTATAATGAAATATTATGCTAGATGAAGAGACCTAGACCAAGTTTCTAAATGAGCAAGATGTAGATGGAGAGTTCTAAACAACAGAGTTTCCAAGGAAGAAAGACTAAGAAGTTGAAGAGGAAAGAAATAGAAAGCAAGGGAAGGGGAGAAAAAAGTGATTCAAGTCTTTTGAAGACCTTAAAGCCATGAATTTGAATCAAAGGACATTTGTTAGAAACCACTTAAATTCATGCATGCAGTTTGCATTATTGTTCATGTCCACCAATGCAGAAAATATTTTCTATGCACCACTTTCAGTCTGCTTAGAAAGAAAGATCATCTGTACAATGAAAGATTCCACCTTTGCTGCTGAATAGCTGGATTAATCTTTTAACAAGGGCTTACATATTTCTAATTCCTTTTGCCCTTAAGCCTTGGAGTCAAACAGACTTTCATCCTAGTTCTCTCTCCTCCTCACCTGTCTCTTCCCTTTCGCTCCCCATGGGCCTGTGGCCCCACACAGCCCACACTGCCCTCCACACCCGTTACACAGTCCTCCACCTGAAGTGGGGCTCTGGGAACATCAGCACTCTTCTACCATTGCCTGTGTAACCTGTTTCCCCTTGCCTCCTGAGGGCCTTTTCGCAACCTCTGACACACGCCGAGTTTCTAACAGTAGATTGACTCTGGGGGAAGGTGCGCCGTGTACTTTGGGTGCACTGTTTGCCGTGTACACAAAGGCTTAAGCAAGGCTCCTCTGGGCATTTTAGTTTAGGGTGTGGAGATTACGTGACAACTTGTCAACTTGTCAACTCTCGGTTTTCCTTGAGGGCAAGTAGCTGAAAACTGGTTTCGCTCAATTTGTTTTGGTTTGTTTGGACCAACTGTTTGCTCAAGCCGAAGGAGCCCGCCTTGAATACTGAGGCAGCCGCTACAGAGGGGTCAGGAGGGTTCTCTGCAAGCTCTTCATCCCTGCCATGGGATGAAGCCATTTACGTACTTCCTGCATCACGGTGTCTCCTGGCATCTGCTCTCCTGAGCTTGCTCCAAAGGCTCCCCCTATGGCCTCTGCTGAAGTTCTGGAGCCCAGGAACTGGGGCCCAGGTGGTTTCCTTTTGCTGACCAGCAGGCAACTGGGTCATGGCCACACAACTGCAGAGCAGCCAGGAAATGCTCTGGGAAGCAAAAATAATTGCCAAAACCAAAATATATGTAAAAACGCCATCTCCCCTTTGATTCAAGAATATCATCATGAACAAAGTTGTGGTGCTGACTCAGCCTTCTGAATATTGAACCTGAACCTGACCATGCTTTTAAATTGAGCTAAGGGTTTAACCAGCGAATGGGCCCATTTAACTCTGTTTATTGCTATATCCTCTACTCTGGCTTCAGCCCAAAGATTTCCAATGGCTTCAGCAGCTCCAGAATCAGTATCTCTGATGTGTTTGCATCTGACCTCTGACCTAAGCTTCAGTGTTATTTTCAGCTGTTCCTTGACAGGGAATCCAACAGCTGCTGTTTAATACCACAGACAACTTATGACACACACTGAGTTTCTAGCAATAGGATTAATCTGTCGATCTTAGGCTCTGATTTAAGCCATCTATAATTTTCCTGCCCCAGGCGTGGTGGGGGGTGGGGGTTGGAAATAAAAACCAAATCTTAAGTACAATGTTATTCTTTTTAAAAGAAGAGTAGCAAAATATACATAATGTTAACCTTTAATCAAAAATATAAGTCATGCCCCTGCTACAATTAAAAGTAATTAGAAAATGAATTACTTCCTAGTAGTCATGAGATCTGAACTTGAAAATACTGTTCAGTGGAGTAGATAGTTGCAAAGAAATCTGACATGTTGGATATCTATTGATAAGTGCTCATTTTTAAAAGTCCCTAAGAAATCCGAGGCTCTGAGAAAAATGTGGCCATTTCACATAAACTTCATTTAACAAGAGATGGTTTTAGGAAAGCAGATTAATCCAAAAATGTATTTCAAACAATTCTGTGGCTTAGTCCCAGAATAAATACCAGAACTTGTTTTTAAAGTACATTTTCCAGAGTTTCCTTTGCATGAAGAAGACTTTAACAAAATCTTGAAAAGATTGATACTCAGGTTAATGACTGCTGGTTTCAAAGTTCACCATCACTGTATAGATTCAATGGCTAAAGTATCTTGGATTGTCAGGATGTAATTCTTTTTCCATTTGCTATCAAACATCAGCTGATAGGCAGAGAGCTAGAAGCTGCCCTCTGTGTTTAAGATAATGGCCAAAATAACAGGCGCTCAGTATTACCATACTAGGGGTGTGGCGATTCTCTCCCGTTCTTTCCTCTCTCTCTCTCATGATAAACTCAATGAGGTTGTCTATTTTTAACCTCCTGTTCTTTCCTTTTGGCAGAGTAATCAGTGCGAGCGGAGCTGTTTCCCTGAATGGATCCAAGTAACCCCAGTGGTTGCCTTCTGAAATGAGCAGCAGCCACACATCTGCACAGAGGCTGTCCAACGCGTAAACTGGTTCTAACGTACCATGTCCAGCCAAGAGAGTCCTGGTGTGGAGTCTTCTACGACGACAGTCAGTTCAGTAGCTGTGCAGGCTGGGGACTCCAAAATCGTTATAGCTGTCATAAAGGTAAGCAGACAACTTCCTTTTTTTCTGTGTGGCTGTAGGCTTCTTGCTCTGTGCTGATAATCCTAAAAAACCTTCTGCACCATCAGCAGTACACGGCATATAGAAAATAACCCAGCAAATACATCTTAATGCTTCTTTAAATTGGCAACTGAGAGGACTCTTTGCTAAGTTTCAGCCAGTTGCTAGAGTTTCTCTTTCGGTTAGCCATAAAATATCTGCAGCAGCTTGATTTTTCAGAAAAGCAATAACAAACCCTACGGTATACTTTCAGTTTGGTTTTTAAAGACAAAGCATTTGTGACAAATTTTGTGACAAAGTTTGTGATTGCTAGGCTTAACAGTCCAGTGGACCTGTGAAATATCTGTGATTTTTGAGAGTGGATGTGATGCAGGAGGGAAGAGGAGGGTCCCAGCTGATGTTTTCAGTGTGACGGAGCACAGGGAACTCCTAACAAGAGACAGCGACTCTTGCCCTCCGCAGCTCTGGTTTTGACCTGGGGAAGGCACTAGAAAATCCTTGTCACACTGGTGAGAGAATGGAGACCCTACCAGGGAAGATGCGAAGGGCATGTGTCTAACTTGCCCTTAACCAAGGAAATTGAAGCCACTTGGGGCTTAAAGGTTTCTGCATGTTTTATGTCAAACAGTTTGCCCATTTGCAAAGATGAGCACACATCTTTAGGTTGAAGAATGCATGCATGGTTTTATTCCCTATGAATATGTCCTATGAAAATTCCTTGAAGCCTTTTGCCTGGATTTAGACAACTCACCACCTCAAGAATTCAGGGTTTAATGAAGAGAATCAGTGCACACCAGCCTGTTACTTTCAAGACCCCGCCAGGCTTAACCAAATGAATTTTCTGGCCTTTTGTAAGAAACATGGGCAATAGAGCCTGTTTAATTTCACTTAATTACTGCAAATTTTATGTTACTGTGAAAATTTGAAACAGGAAAGCAGTACTTGACATTGAACAAAATGATTCAGTCTAGAAGCACTGAAAGCATGGAATGCAAAATGTTCCTACCAAGGCCGCTTGCCCAGGGCTCTCGAGACTTGGTCTCACAATAACAGGGCCTCTGCTGAGTCCCTTGACCTCTATTCTTTTCAAAGGCAACGGATGGACGTGGAAAAAAGCCAGAAGCAAAAGTAGCAGAATTGAAAATTGGCATGTCATTTTATGATGCTCTGAGTCACTGCAAATATCAGCAGTGAGGGAAAAAGAGGAAAAATTACTGCTGTTTTTGTTTTGATTCACTTTTCTTTCCCTCAGATATGAAACATTTATTTGATTAGGGTGAGAAAGAATGCATATAGAATAAATGATAAAATAATCAGTGCTAAATTGACAGTAAGGAAAAAAACAACTCTGAAATTATACTGGAAATTCTTAACTAAAACTCTTTAAGAAAGTTCCCTCCATCCTGCCTCCTCAGCTCCCTAAGTTCACTGCTGTGCTGTTTGAAATGCACTCCAAGCTGTTCAAAATGGAAAGTGTGTCTTAATAGAAGTGCTTGTGTCTGATTTATGTGGGCTTCTCGTTTCTAAAGTCTCAGGTTACTAATGATCTAGAATAGACATGTAGTTTTCTCATTGCTCCTCAGCAATTCACTTAGCCAAGTGCATGTGCCCGGCAGTGCTTCCTCTTCCTTAATCGATATTGCTTCTTAAAAAAGCAATTCCTTAGGAAATGCAGTGATGAATTATATCTTGGGGCAGCACACTGAAAGGGTCCTTCATGTGGAAAACAAGTTGACTGCATTCAAATGGCAGTTGTCACACATCTGATTTCACTGATATTTTTGTACGTACTTTATTGAATATTCAACAATAAAATTTGAAAAATATTAAGTTTTAACTTTGAAATAAGAATCACTTGCTTCGTCTGCTGTTTATTCTTTCTGATCAGTTCAGCAAGGTTAAAGACACTGATTAGCATAAATTACATTTGTGAAACCTTTCCCTTTGGTGAAGTTCACACCTTACTTGCTCAAATCACTATGTTTATAGAATTTGGTTTTTTTTTGAGCAAGAGAATGTAAAATTGTGTGAATTATTCTATAATTTTGTACTATTCAATAATACATAACCTATTGTAAATGTTCCTTATTTGGGAATTTTTAATTTAAATCTAATATGCTAAGAGAAAAGAATTTATCCTATGAATAAAAAAAAGAAAAGCCAGGGCATGGATTTATGTCAGAACTGTTTCAAGTTAAGTAAGACCTATCTCTATAGAAAGGTTAAACTTTTCACAATGTAACTGGAAACTTTGAAGAAAAAAAAAAAAGAAAAGGAGAAGGAGAAGGGTGAAAGGGAAGGAATAAGGGGAACTAAAAGTGCATTTTATTTCATTTTTATTTTTAGTGTGGCAAATGGGTACAACTTCAGTTGGCTGAATCACAGCCCAATCTTCTAGAAATTGGAAGCAATCAAGATGAAACCAAAAAACTTCTTCACGATCATGAACTTCTTTTGGCCAAACTCAAGGTAAGATATTAAGATATGAAGCAGATACAAAATTAAGAAGAAATTAAAAGCTATTTCTTACACTTCCCCTTGATTCTCCCTTATGTCACTGACCTATGGCTATTTTAACTTCATGCCAGATAGATAATGGAAAAACACTATACTTGAGCAAACACCAACATTGGAGAAAAGTAACAAGGCTTTTTTTTTAAACTATCCCTAATTTGATGGAAAATATGGAGTGATAATATTTTCACTATGGATAAATAAGTATTTTCTTTTTTCCTGGCTGCCTTCATGAAAAAAAAATTCCATCATTTCCATTTCATGCAATGTACTGTCAAGCCACAACAACAGATCCAAACTTGTAGTATTAATGATACCTGCTGGCAAAAAGAATATAGAGGGTTTTTCCCCCTTGAACTATTGAAAAGATTTGATTTTATACTTATTATTGAGTTCTTGAAACCACGAAATAGTTTTAATGAAGAGTTATTATTGTGTATATGTTGTGACTATTTAGTTAAGAATCTAAAAACAATGTTGGTTTGAGATTGCCAGATAAGATATCTACTCAGAGACAGGAATATAGGTTGTGGGGTCCAGCACAAAGAGAAAAGCAGGAAGAAGCTTTTCCTTGGCCTGTGACGGTGTTTTTAAAATCTGCTATTTACCGTCTGGCTCCTTCGGGCAGGGGAATACGTTGGGGTCAGCGCAGTCCCACACACACTGGGGCTCAGCCCCAGGTCAGTGTACAGGGTGTGGACCTGACCCAACCTTTCTGAGCTGTGCCCTGACACGTGCCAGGGCAGAGGACAGAGGTCACTTAGCAGGGGCGGGGGGGCAGACAGGATAGCAAAGTCCTCTCCCCGGAGGGACGGGCCACATGGTGGGTGAGGCTCCCATCCCTCAGCGCTTCCTCTGTTGCCCCATTGAACCTCACTTATGGAACACACAGGCAAAGATAAAGTTGTTGAGAACTTCAAGACAGTAATAGGTAAAACATTAAACCCCAAGTGGTTTCTCCTTCTGAAAATGGAACCCTGTGAGTAATAACCCTCGTAGGCAAATGAGTGTCATTACTAAAATCAAAGAGGCCGGATTCAGAAGTCTACAATGACTAGGTATTCTGTGTCATTAGTACTTTAATATTACTTGCTTCTTTGAACATCTAGGCCAGAATTTACACTTGCTTTCTAGATTTAGAGGCAGGGCTGATAGGCATCTGATAAGTACCAGCAGCAGTAGTAAAAGTAAAAGGATAAATCAGACTGAGAAATTGAAGAAAGAGTACTGGAGCAGGAGGGTATTAGAGTCCAGAATTTATTCTCCTGTGCAGATAGCTCCTTGTTCTTCAAGGTAGAAGCCCCTGGTGACCAGGAAGTCCTTCGTATATCTTAAAAAACACATGCTGATGTAAGCAGTCATTGAATCAGTGATCAAAAGACCTATGTTTTAGTGCTAATTTTGCTTCCCTGGTGTCTCAGATGGTAAAGAATCTGCTTGTAATGCAGGAAACCTTGGTTCGATCCCTGAGTTGGGAAGATCTCCTGGAGAAGGTAATGGCTACCCACTCCAGTATTCTTGCCTGGAGAATCCCATGGACACTGGAGCCTGGTGGGCTACAGTCCATGGGGTTGCCGAGTCGGACATGACCGAGTGACTAAGCACATACACACGTGCCAATAGCTGGTTTAGTTTGGCTAACAATTCAAGGTTTTGCTGCTACAGAAAAAGCTCAATTTTATGAACTGTGGAAATGCAACACTTGCCTACACTTCTTGCTCATCCATAGAGGTTTACTTTCTCAAGGTCTCCTGTGTCCCCAGCCCCTTCATACATACCTGCCAACTGTTTCTGAAGTTAACCCAGAAACTGAATGTCTTCCCCAGGTCCTGCTAGCAATCCATGCCCAGCCAGCACTTTCAGGTCCGCTGATGAGCTATGGGTAGTGGTGAAGCTCACAGCAGCCTGGGTCTCTTGGGCTACCTCTTTTCCCCCAGCCCTATTCCTATCCAGACCTACAATTCCAGGGAGAATTCTTTCTGAAGCAGAGCAGTTCATCTCTCCTTAACAACTGTGCTCAAATTTGCATGCCTGAATCTATGCAGGAGCACACTGGAAGAGGGTTTTCTATTCATGGGATTCATGTGTAAAAGGTGCTTGTGATTCTCAGTTGTAAAGTCTTTTCCTTTAATGCCAGTCTTCTGGACCTTAGGCTTTTATCTGTAAAGATGATTGAGAGAGGTTGGATCAAAGGTTCATGTCTATTGTGGATCTTGTCTTGATGGGCAATGGAAGAGTGGAACCATTCTCCCTCTCTGCTTGTGGCTAAGAACATGAGGTCTTAAGTAGAAAGACCTTTTGACTTCATGCAGAGCTCTAGCCATGACCTCTTGGTGGCCATCTCCCATACCCGCTCCTAACCCAACAAACCAGCCACTTATCCCCAAGAAATTTTTAGTAGTGCCATCATCTTGGTTAAAAAAAATCAAGGAGTCTGAAGTCTGTTTCATATTTGCTCACAAAAGACTTTTTTAAATAAGAGGAATGTGAATTCCATATTGTAAATGGCTGGAGTAACTTAATTTACCAGTTATTATATTGTTAGGGTAGGTACAATCTTAACCTGTAGCAGGAAATTGTTGTACTGAATTATTTTTAATATGAGCTCTTTGAATGATAGGAACAGCAGTTCGATAAGCCAATAATATTTAATATTTAATGTTTACTCCAGTGTTTTCCCTATGCACAGGGCCCTGAGATTTGTTCTAATTATAAAGAAGAATGTACTATTAGGAGTATTGGGAGAGTGTAGGAGTTCTGTGCTGAGTCCACTCTGCTTTGGACAAAGTAGTTAGCCTCTGTGGTCTCAGGTTATTTATTTGAAAAATTATGATAGTAATTGATACCTTCAAACACCTACAAAGGAAATCTGGGGGGGAAATCCAATGATTTACAGAAGTGCTTGCTGCCTTGAAAAGAAAAAGTAGTATAATTATTCTGTTGATAATTAATATATCAGAGAAATTTGAGTATTTAATTTTATAGGGAAACTATTTTCTGCCTTCCATTAAAATTATCTCAAATCCTAATAATTTAGAGTAAAGGGGAAAATTCTGGTGACACAGAATTTGTTAGAGTGTTTCTAATGTTGGTAATGTCTGCACCCCAGAGACCTTATTTTCCTTTCAACAGAGTACTTAAGCATTTCTATGGAGTGTCTGGAGAGAAATATTTCCCTATTTTCAGTGGGGGAAAACATAAACATGTGGAGAAAACATTCATTCCCTAAAGGCATCTAGATTCTCAAACCACAGTCGATGATTATTTTAATGAGAAAGAAGGAATTCAGGAAAGGGAAGAGCGAAATGTAAGCAGGTAACAAAGATCTGTCTGTGGCCCCTGTCAGCACCACATCCTCAGGTGGTTCAAGGAGGAAAGAAGGGTCAGAAATGCCTTAGGAATGTTTCTGAAAACATTCTGCCCCTTATCATCTGTCTTACTACTAACTGCATTGCTATTGTGCAAAGGAATTACAACTATGTTGTTGTTTAGTCGCTAAATCATGTCTAGCTCTTTTGTGACCCCATGGACTGTAGCCCACTATCTCCTCTGTCTGTAGGATTTCCCAGGGAAATACTGGAGTGGGTTGCCATTTCCTTCTCCAGGGCATCTTCCTGACCCAGGGATCGAACCCACGTCTCCTGCATTGGCAGGTGGATTCTTTACCATCTGAGCCACCAGGAAAGCCCAACTACAACTATAAGAGGCAAGAAAACCTCTGGACCCTGGCTCCTGTATTTGTTTTTAATATATGATACTAGCATTCAGTGAAGAATGACCCTTTAAAATATAAAATACTAAAAAGTTCACCTCTAACTTGACTCATAAATCTATTGACTTCCTGATTCCAACTTCATCTCTGACCCAGTGAATGTTTATTTTTGTCCTATTTTTCTTTACTTAATTAAAAATGAATAGTCAAAATATATTAGTTGTAGTAGTCCTACTAAAACTTATTTCTTAAACAAAGAATAGTGTGATTTTTCTCTTGTAAACTGCTATAAAATATGTAAAATCATATTTAGTATGAATGAATCATTAAAAAAATTTTGTGGTAAATATATGAATTTGCAATTTCAATCATTTTTTTCATTTTTTAAAATTTATCATTCATCAAGGACCTATGATGTATTTAGCATGGATGAAAAGAGAAAATGAAACATAAAGACATTAAAAAACTTATAATTTAGTAAAAAAATAAGACAAGAATGCTATTATAATTAGAAGACAAAAGGTAATAAGTACTACATGCATTTATTTATTATTTTTTTATTGGAATATAGTTGCTTTACAATATTGTGTTGTTTTCTGCTGTATAATAGAGTGAATTGGCTATAAGTATACATATGTCCCTTCCATCTGGACCTCCCTCGCACTGTCCCCACCCCCATAGCTAGCTATTTTACTACATGGTACTGTGTATATGTCAGTCCCAATCTCCCAATTCATCCCATCTCCCACTTCCTCCCCACCACGTCCACCTATTTGTTCCCAATGTCTGTGTCTCTTTTCCTGCCCTGCAAATAGGTTCTTCTGGACCGTTTTTCCAGATTTCCACATATATGCATTAACACATGCTCTTTGTTTTTCTTTCTGACTGACTTCACTCTGTAAGACATCTGTGTCCATCCATGTCTCCACAGATGACCCAATTTTGTTCTTTTTAATGGCTAAGTAATATTCATTGGGTATATATACCACATCTTTATTCATTCATCTGTCAGCTATATTTAAATGTACAATTCAGTGGCATTAATTGTGTTCACAATATTGTGCATCCATTACAGCTATCAACTTCCCACCCGAGTTTTCATCACCCCAAACAGAAACTCTGTACCTATTAAGCAAAGATTCCCACCCCCTTCCCTGGTTAACCTCTCTAATCTACTTTCTGCCCTTAAGAATTTGTCTATTTTAGGTATTTCATGTAAATAGTATCATATAATATTTATCCC